AAAACAGGTTTTCTGGTGTAGATGCATGTTATTAGGCTTCTTTGTCAGGCACATGCAGCCAAATGTTGATGTGGTATCCGTGTTGGCTTTATGAAGTGTGGATTAAAAATTGAGGCATGAGGGGAAAATTGTACATTTTCTAACACAAACATTCTTCCTTTCTCTCTGTCTCATGTGTTGTTTGTTTGTTTTTTTGGTTTTTTTCCCCCCTCCTGTTTGTTTCAGAGCTGGGGCTGCTAATGAAGTCCTGTATTGATCAGGGTCAGCTGGTGCCTGATGACGTCATATCTCGTCTCATCCTGAATGACCTGAGGGCAATAGATGGCAGAAGCTGGCTGCTTGATGGTAAGTTTTCACAACTTTGCATCAGCACTCGTTTCATCTGGTAAAATGAGTGGTAGGCGATCATATTATCAGCATTTCTAGTTAGGAATTGTTGAATTTGTTCTATAAAAAAATAGATGTAACACTGAAGGAAAGACTTAGACTTTAATTAAATTACTGACATTGATCGCACCAACCTTGATTCCTTTTTTGCTTTGCCTAGATTTCTTCTGTCTCTTTCGCCAGGTTTTCCTCGTACAGTGTCCCAAGCAGAAGCTCTGGATGATGTCTACACCTTGGACACAGTTATTAACCTCAATGTACCTTTCCAGACCATCAAGCAAAGGTTGACTTCACGTTGGACTCACCTTCCGAGTGGCAGAGTATACAACACAGATTTCAACCCGCCTAAAGTCCCTGTAAATATCCCTTTCCTATCACTCCCTGATTTAGTTTCTATTAGATGTTTTATACTGTATTTAGCCCAGCTTTGCACACGTAATTGCAAAAATCTTAAGTTTCAGATAGTCGGACCAATTTAAGTTTTATTAGTAATGCAGCATTTCATAAAAATAAATGGACATGGTGTTAGTGTGATGTCTGGGGCTGTAACTGATAGAACCATGAATTGAACGTCTGCCCATCAGTTTGTGAAACTCAAGCGCACTTGGGTTATGCAGCATGACAATGATTCAAAACGCACCAGCAACTCCACCTGTGAATGTCTACACTGTACCAAAAAATAAAAAAAGGTTTTGGAGCAGCCCAGTCAAAGTCTAGATTTGAATAGTGTGAGATGTCTTGGCATGACCTTAAACAGGCCATTCATGCCCAAACCCTCCAATGTGACTGAATTAAAGCAATTCTGCTAAGAACAGTGAGCCACAGTGATGTGAAAGACTTGTTACCGGCCATTGTGAAAGCTTGATTGCTGCCAAGTTATTGGGTTTTTGGGGAAGTTTTCACTTTTTCGCACAGGGCCAGGTAGGTTTGGATAGCTTTTTTCTTTTCCTTAATGACAGAAGTAATCATTTAAAAACTGCATTTTGTATTTACTCACATTATCTTTGTTTAATATTAAAATTTAGTTGATGATCTGGACCACATAGTGATGCGAACAGGACATGAGGCCATTCAGGTTTCTCAAATTTTCATGAATGTGTATATATATATATTTGCTCAATAAAGATGTGGAAATTCAGACTAAAGGATACCAGATTAAGGAAACTCCAGTATAAATCTTAGTAAGGTATTTGGCCACCACATGCTATCAGAATGACTTCAGCATGTCTTTGGAAACATGCTGGAAGGATGAATACCAATCTTCCAAGAGATATTCCCTCACTTTGCATATTTGGTAAATCTCCTAAGAGTAATGGTAAACGCACTGAGAGAGCCTTTAATATAATACTTACTCTCTCATATCAGATTTCCGAGTTTAACTTACTGCCTCAATTAACTGGAATTGCTTGAGGCAGCTAATTCTTTCACCATGTAAATCATTCATTTCTTGCAGAATTTTGGACAGCATGTTTACAGTGCTCCCTCTTGACCTCAGAAGTACCCTTCTGGGACTGTCTGCTGTCTGAGTAAACTACAGACACTGTCATATTCCTGGAACTGTCCGAGCCCATTTTATTACAGTCTACCCTCCTGAAATGTATAACAGAGTGACTGTCTGATCCTATAATGGACGCAGCTGGTAAAAGTTGATGTTTAGATAGTGTCATGGAGCAGAGGTGTTGAATATATCTGGAGTCCTCTCAATCCTCCGACGGTCATAAAATGTTGTAAAGAGTTTGGAAGTTTAACCAATCAAAAAAAAAAAGTGTGCTGTTAAAATAAAAACGAACTGCATTAATACACTTTAATCAAAAATATCATGTTGAAGGTCAAATTGTACAGGTTCATTAGCAACAAATGTCTGTCTGAAATGAGAATGAAATTCAGAAATTCAAGTTCCTAATAGAACATAAAGTACTTCTTAACAAATAAACAACATTTATTCAGATAAATGTCAATCTTTCAGTTCCAGAGAAATGTGAGATGAATATAGTTTTAGTTCAGTTGAGGATATTTTGTGTATGTGAAGGGTTGTTTTTGTTTCTTTCTAGTTCACGAGTAGAAGATGAAGGGTAACTAAACATTAACCTAAGGCAGGAGATTATAAAAAGCCTCGAGAGTTGCAAGAAAAGAGTGGGAGAGAAACGTAATCTTTGTAAGCCCCACAGAGACGGACAGGTTACGTATCTAAGCACGTCAAATGGGTAGATTTAGGGCGCTGGTCAAGTTCACTGGGTAGAGCTGGGACACAGCGTCTGCCTTTCACACTATTATTATCATTCCTGACTAATAGCTTGTGGTTCACGTTTTTGTAAATCTGTGTTTTTAGTAGAAGTCGCTGTAGCTCAAAGCCTTGCAGTGCTTTCAGCACAGATGCAGACTTGTTTACACTAGCCACCTTCTAGTAATGCTCCCAGATCACTGCAAGGAAAAAAAAAAAAAGCATCCTGTGAGGTTTTGGAAAGTAAAGAAGCCAGCCTGCAGCAATCTTTGTAGCTTTCAAATTCTTAAAGTCAGAAATGTGCTTGGCAACATGGGAAATGAACTGAAGGCAGCCCTTTGACACTGATGTCTCTGTCACGTTTCATTCAACACTGATCAAACCCTACAAACAGTTGTGGATTAGTAAGATGATTTCTACTCTGTTCCAACATGTCTCATATTTTTTATGTTGCAACATTTATTGCATAATATATGTTTTTTAAAAAAAAGTTTTAAAAAAGTAACTAAAACCCTTCTTTGCTGCACATAGTAAACATGCGCAAAAGATCAGCATTACGACAGATTTATTTTATCTCTGCAGGGCTTTGATGATGACACAGGGGAGCCTCTTTTCCAGAGGGACGATGACAGACCAGAGACGGTGACACGGCGATTGAAGTCTTACGAAACCCAGACGGAGCCCGTCTTAGAATACTACAGGTAGAGCACCGCAGATACCTTAAAACTTAGTGCCAGCAGTATATGCAAAAATCTCTCTAATACTCACCAAGGGTCCAGCTAAAAGTCAAAAATATTGAACCATGACCTTTTCATCCCTGCGTATTCTTCAAAGCTGTTTGCATGACTGAAGAAAATGCTTAAGAACCACATTCCAGCAGCCCTAGCCAATACTGCAGCACATTTTCTCTTTATTAAATCAGGTGACAGATATATAAATATTTATCTTGAAAGATTAAAACACAGGCAGGCAAATTCATCGATCTTATGTTCTGTTTCTGGGCCAGGAAAATGTATGACTGTTTCCTTAAACCACAGAAATGCTTTTATCTAGTGTCCCACTTTCCACTATAACCACGTTGCCTAAAAGTTTGTCATTTGCAGGAAGTACAGATAATAACAGACTGAGAATAGAAGAAGATGCAGATTTAATGTTTAAAATAACTTGTTCTGAAGTTTAGGAGCATTGCCAGCTGATTAATAGGAGATGTACATGCATTTCAATGTTCAAATGCTGGTATTGAAAACTGATTTGTTTTGTTTGTTTTTACCCTCCAGGAGTAAAGGTGTGCTAGAGACCTTCTCTGGGACAGAAACCAATAAGATATGGCCACATGTTGAAGTTTTCCTTCAGAGAAAATTGTCTTCAATCAATCAAAAAGTTGAATAGAAAGCCTGAGAAGAGTTTATCGACAGAAACCACTGTGTGCATTGTCCAGTCAAAATGCCACTTTTGCATTAAACAAAGGGAGTAATATATTCTGAATGTTTTAAAACGGGGATAACACTCATCTTATGTGTACAGGAGTACACAACAGTAAAATGCCACCTAAAACAAAACATAAGCTTAGTTTGGTAATGTTTCCACGATGCTGACATTGGTTTTTGAACGTCTCAGGTTGTGTGCAAAATCTTTTAAACAGTAGTTGTTAGACTTTGCACAGATTGCCTCTTCACTCCAATAGTGTGCCTTTTTATGAAGCAAGCAGAAAACTGAGTGACTCCAATATTAAGGCTATTAACAGTAAGTGAAGGCTGCGTTTGCAGAGTATAACAGCTTGACGTGTGCCGGTGAATGCAGCCAGTTTTTAAGGAAAGCGTAAAGTCTTAGCTTTTCTAATTATAATCATTACTTCCTTTCTTGTTTGATTCTGATGAATAAGAAT